GTCGCCAAGGACGGCGGCGGCGCGGCCGGATCTAAGCCCAAGCTGGGCCTTGATCGCTGGATTGCCATCGGCACGGTGGCGGGTGCGACTCATCAGCAGCTGGGCAGATCCGCCGGGATTCTACCCTTGTCTGGTCCTTGACAGCGCGGGCAACTCCGGGGGAAACCCTAGATCTCCTTGGGATCGAGCGATGGCGGCGCTTTTGCGTCGTAGGCCCTAGTTAGGGCATCGTTTTGGAGTTTACTGTAGTTGAAGGGACCAGCGACGTCGGCGGCGCACGTCTGGTGGAGCAACTGTCGATGAAAATCACGTCGACTACGGTCATGGCGGACGATGGCGGCGTCTTTGATGTCGTTCCCTTGTCGAGGCATCGTCGTTGCAGTCTGCTTCATCAGGCTTGTGATGCTCCGGGGAAACCCTAGATCTGGGTCTTCCGGATCGGATGATGATGGCGTTTTATCGCTTTTCCCTCCTGGGGGCATCGTTTTGGAGCAAGTGATGGCTGGGGGATGGTGGAGCGGTGCTTCATCTCACACATTGATGGCGGCGGTTATCGGCGGCATGGCGCTGTGGAGGCTCGGCGTCTGATGCACGGGATGGACTCGCGCAGGAGGAGGTAGCTGTCTGGCGTCATGGTGACGTTGATGGCTGAGTGGCCAGACAAGGTAGATGCCTCAATATGATCTGAAGACGGACCTGTGGAAGATGGCGGCGACGACACACGAGTGCGTCTGACCGGATTGTGCCCTAGACCCAGTATGTGGCTCGGCTGGGGCTTCCGACTTTTGATGTTAGGCTTATGTGAGTGGTCTAAATGGCCCAGCTAGCACCCCTTCATCGTATGGATAGGAGTAGAGGCATATGTTGCCAAGATGGTGGATTCAGACATATTGTTGTAATACTCTGTAAGGTCCTCGAGAATAATCAATAAAGTGGCCGTATGCATCTCCAAGATGCAGAGGCCAGGGGTCATCCTCCTTTTCTAAAAAAAGAGTAAAATGTATACCAAGCCAAAAAAATCATTTTTATCATTTTTTTTGAAAGAAAACTCAAAAGAAAAAAAATCACGTTCTTGATGGGCTGCAGCCCATGCTTAAGATATACTATTGGGCCCATGTTTGATTAGTGTCCTAAACTTCGGATTAATCTTATTAAGTACCATGTTAATATTAACTCACGTAATTGGGGATGTAGCTCAATTGGTAGAGCGCTAATCAATGCAGAATAGAGGCATGGGGTTCGATTCCTCGCATCTCCACTTATCTTTTTATTTTAGTTTTTCTGCCGACGAACTTCTTCCTTTTCCTGTAAAATAAATTGACCGGGAAAATAAAAAGAGAAGTGCGCCTCTTGGGCTTTAACTGGGCTGCAATTTTGACCCTAATCTAGGTTGGAACAAACTGCCCATGTGATTCGTGCACTGCCTCAAAAACAAATGTGATCCATGCACGCTCCTTCCAAGTTCCAAACGCTGCCGCATCTGTAGGCCGTCCTGCGACGAAATTCCAGCGCCGCCTTCGCGCTCGCGCCTGGACGCCGCGTGCCCTGTCCGCTACTGGGCACAATGGGAGCGCCTCACGCCTCAGCGGCTCGACAACTCTACTCAAATTTAGCTCATTTCCTACAGCTTAGTACACTTGTGATTTAGCTCCTTGGTAGCACCTACTTATATGGGTTTTCAGTACACTACTCAAGCTTCACTTATCTACACTGCAACATGGTATTGCCGTTTGGGGCACCAAGGCCTGCACCTCATATCCTGACACCCAACTTGTGTACATCTTGTATAATTCAGATTTTTGATTATTTTTCCCCAGTTATTTTGTATAGACAATGTGTGTGGGCATTAGTTTGATATTGCAGAAGCAAGACAACCTAACTTACACTATATGCATGTACATTTGCTATATATGATGTACCTTGCGATTCTACTTGACATGCATAATTGGGCTGGATGACACCACATGTATTAAATTTTCTGTGTGACATTTTCTCTGCCCAATACGTGCCGGCCGCCGCCGCCGCTCCATGCCTCCCGTATCTGCATTGTCGTCGCCACCGGTGCGGTAGCCCGTGCACCCACCTCAAGCGTCCTCCGCCACCCATTCCTTGTCCCCTGTGTGACGCGGTATCCGCCTAATCGGGCAAGGAAACCGGCACCTTGGCCACCATCTCACATGGGTGTGCAGTGAGAACAATGCATTTTTCCCAGTTGGACATCTTTCTTCAGCAAACTGCATGTTCTTACATGGATAGTTTACAAGATCGGGTACTATCTTAACAGGTACTCGTGACATGGTTTTCAGTAGCCATGGCGACATCAGGTGATCCTTATGAGCAGAACCACCATGAAAAACATACGGGTCAATAGAATTCTAAAAGTTGCAGTTTATTTGCTCTATTCAATAATGGCTTCAGTTTCAATGGAAATCGTTAAATGGACTCTCATGATTGCGGTGGTGTATTATTCTGCAAAAGCAGTTTTGTCGCCTTCTAATGTTTTCATTCACATCCATGGTCATATATGCTGCCTGACAAGATGCGAGTTATCAGCCACCTAGTTCTCATCTTTCTTTGCATCACACGTTTGGACATTTAATTAGCTTTGATGCATAGTACTTCTGGATAATGAATAAAATGACGTACATTTTGGATTACTTCTTCACCAACTTATGTTCCACTTTACATTCATCTTTTGGATTACTTCCTCATCAACTTGTGTTCCACTCTATTCGCAAAAAAAAAAAAACTTGTGTTCCACTCTACATTTATATCATGGAAAAATAATTCTCTAGAGTGACCTTTTATATAGTGGTTTTAGCGGGCATGGGTGTTTGCATTTTTCTCTTTTCTACCCGTTGCAATGGAGAGACCCCTTTGCTAGTGATACTAATATTCATATCCCTTCTTTAAGAAAAGACACACAAGGGGCATCTTAGTTTGACAACTATCATGTACGGATTGGGCACAAGTCATGGGGAGTCACCCTTTATTGCCCTTCCCTGCGACATCACCCATTCAACAACGGACTTTAAACTCAAGCACAAGAAGCTCTGAACTCGCAACCAGAAGCAACAGTACAGCAGCAGCCAGTTTATGATGCGAACTGTTGGTTGCACTTGCAAGTTCAGTTGTAAGTACCTCCGGTGTTTGTATGGATCTGAGGGAGGAGAGACATCAAGAGGAGAAGAAACCGAGAAATTTCATACTCAAATACTACTTCCTCACGTCTAGATACATCCATTTGAGTGTCAATTAAAATGGGGCAGAGGGAGCACTTGTTTAAGCGCAAGGTTTAAAAGGATAGACGTTTTTATACGGTTCCAATGTTTATCAGTGCAGCGCACGCGATCACGAATCTGCTCAACTCAGCTCATGGGACTCGATGGCGCGTCAGGGAATGGAGTGGCGTGTCATTTTCAGGACTACATGATCAGCATGTGAGTTTGATTGTGCGTGAGTACCACCTAAAAATTAGGAATCACCACATGAGGTTGGAGTGGTCGGAAATTTTCCTACCTAAACTAGTAGAGACGAATCAAAAAGGAAAAAATTCCTATGGATCGCAATCCTATGAATCAAACAAGTCAGGTAGGAAAGAAATACTCCTACTAAGGGTCTCTTTGATTCAAAGGATTTTCATAGGATCTTTGATGGATTAGAATCCTTAGGAATTTTTCCTACGTTGGTCATTTGATTCGTGGGATTGAATCCCGTAGGATTTTTTCCTAAGGATTCATTTTAACTACATTTCACGGGAATTCTTACATCCACTCCAACCTCTTGGAAGCAATCCTTTGTTTTTCCTGTGACACAATCAAACAAACTCAAATCCTATAGGGATTCAATGGACATGCCATTCCAACCCTACCATTTTTCCTATTACTGTGTTTTTGCAATCCTATGAATCAAAGAGGCCCTAAGGATCTCTGGACGGAGGGAGTACTAAGGATCGGAATCCTCGGAAACTTTAGAAATCCTTTGTAGCAAAGAGGCCCTTTTTTGTGTGTCTTTTACATGTACCAAAGTTCGCCAACCCACATGAGCAATACAATTATTTCGTTGCTCCATCTTGTGTTTCAGTGCTCCGGGGCAGAGGAAAAAGTAGTCACGTGACTCTAGTGTAGTGTCAAAAAACGTCTTACATTATGGGATAGAGGGAATAGCTACCGCTCCCCCTAGCAGTTATGAATGTTCAGAATTTCGGCACTCTGGGGCAAAAGGATAAAGCAGCCACGAGTGTGCACCGCAATCAACTTCCATCGGCAGTGTCAAAGACAAAAAAAGAAAAAATCCATTGGCTGCCAACTACTGATGAAATCCGGCAGCAGAGTCTCTATCAGACACAACCGGGCAGATGTTAATCCTAGAACCCAACTGAGGGCACTAGCACCATCAAACCAGCTCATTACGCGATTGGAGCCACGACGATGTCATCATCGCCAAAATTCAGTTTATCTATGCACTGATTCACAATTCAGCAACGAACTGGGAAAACTGCTAGCAGAAGAAACTCTGAAACTCTCGACTCACTAGTGACAGTTTGCTTCTGGTGTCATCCCTTGCTTGAGCATCGCCTGCAAAGTTCAGTAGTGCGGTGCCTCCTAGCGGAAATGGGATACATTTTGCATCCATGAGTCGTTACTGACTTCGCCTACCGACCCAGCGAACAACATACATGAAAAGACTAGGAGGATCACAACCAAGCCCTGTCTCTATTTGGATCAATTACACACCATATAATCCAGGTTCTATAATATAACACCCCATATAATCCAGGTTCCTCCGTGTGATAATATCTTGGGAGTTGGAATCGGATCTTAGTTACATTCGTACTACGCAGTACACACACGGACACATTATATTATTGATATATATGATCCAGCAAAATGCTCCACTTACTACTGACCCGGCAAGCAAAACACACACAAAATGAGCAGCGGCCGCCTTCTCGATCCAGCAGCTTTTTGAGAATCAATTACTGCTGTCGGAGTGGTTACCTAGGAAGGGTCGTCGTCGCGGCAGCGGGTGATGGACTCGCAGCCGCGGGTGTAGGGGTTGGCGGTGGTGCTCACGCGGCAGTTGTAGTAGGGCACGCCCGGCCGGGAGCAGGGCACGGCGTCCCCCCGCAGCGCGTCGTAGCTGATGTACCTCCGCCCGCCGCCGGTCGCCCACAGCAGCCGCCCGTGCGCCGCCTCCGAGCCCATCTGCGCCTCCACCCCCATGTCCATGTCCATGTCGAGGCCGGCTATGGTGATGGCGCCGTGGCCTCCCCTCCCCTGCACGAGCAGCAGCAGGAGGAGGAGCACGGGGGTGGCCGCCCATGGAGGCATTGCCGGAGGAGCAGGGGAGGAGGGGGGAGCTGAGATCTCGGAGAGTGGAAGTGGAACAGTAGCTCTGGCTGGATCTTTTCTCCCTGATGAAAGAGCGGGGGGAGTGGGGAGTGGAGTGGTGGAGGTGGCCTTAAATGCAGTGCCACTGCCGACAGTTGTCCGTTGTGTCCCGTGGCCGTGGGGAACGGACCCGTGGGGTTTACAGTTTTCCTTCCTTGTCCTTTTACCGCTGGTTTCTCCTCGGGAACTGAATCGTTCGGCAGTACGCCCATTTGGAAACGCAAAGACATTATCCACACAGTTTATCGGTGCATCTCCAACGCCGACCGCGAACCTCTCGCAACTGTCTGAACTATAAAAGTCATCCAACGCCGATCTGTATCGATCAACGGGGCAGTTTGGACGTGATTTCTTCCGTAAATCGGAGAAGATGCACCAAACGTTTGCAGGGGAGTGTTGTATGACCTCTCTCTCCGAGCTGATCACAACCTTGTTTATATACATGCAATTAGTTCTAGCCCTTTCAACCACTGAAGTATTGCTCTCCCCAAATACAGCAAGTGCAACAGGTGCATCAAACTCTGAAGGTCTGAACCCAAAAAATCAGCTCTCCAAATTCTCAAACTTTAATAATTGATCACTGCCAAATTCTACACATTGATCGATGGATACTAAAAATGAGAACTGACTTAACACATTAACCTATGAATACTAAAAAATGGGATCTGATTTAACTTTCATACCTTTAGCGGTGCTTAGGATGAGGTCAGTCGCGCGGGTGAATGTGAACATGGAGGGTGCGTCATGATGATTGAATTTGCGAAGGAAGTAGTCAATCAATGAGCAAGCAGCAACAGCTCCATCCTTTTTATGGTCATTGCCTCAAACACAGACTTTGCCTCAATCACCTATCAATCCAAAACCATTGACTAATTGAGATGAACTGAAAGACATAACCTTTCGATGATGTCTGCGGAGGTCTATTATGAGATGAGATGCATCACACACTGACCTGCAGGTCCACGAGGAGTGGCACATAGGTCTCTTCCATCTTTGAAGCGAGGCAAAAGAAAGCCACTACCAAGAGCAGTGTCACCCACACTTTGCCTTCCTGCCACGAAAAACAAATTCCTCAATGATTCCAACAACTTTATGGGATTTTAGCAGGGTTTCTTCAGTTGCTACTGAGATGATAGACTTACAGAAAGGAGATAGACGGACAGGAACCTATCAAGGTAGTTCATAGACAAGGCCGTAGTCAACGACAAAGAATTTGCAGATTTAATTAGCTATCACGGCACCATACATCAGGACGGTATCATCGAGCAGAAATTCAATGAGAAAATTGCCACTAAAAATGGATAAAAAGGCATATTCCAAATCCGGCCCATCACATATCAGTACCACGCTAGAAAGGAACAATTTGAATCAAATCAAGATGCGGGGGCTCACCTTCCAAAGCCCATCTATGGCGTACCTCCTGGCGATAGCCAAATCCAGGCCCCCGAGCCGCCGCCACAACATCTGAGGGTACCTGTCGGCGGGCATGTGCTCCTTCTCCGTCTCGGTGAACGCAACCATAGTCCTCAAACTTCATAGGGTGGTCGACCAGGAACCCATCTGCCGGGTGCTGATCAGGAAGACGACAGTGCTCTGGGTGGCGAGGTCGCCGTCCTTCCACCATTCCATGCGACGTGGGGATCTCCCTAGGATATGTTTCTATTTTCCTTTTTATGGGATATCTTTTTTTCTTGGGAGGCCTGCATGATCGTAGGGGGCGGGGTTGTGTGCACGTGGAGTTTTTCCCTGCGGTGGAGTATGGTTCGTCAATATAAATTAGTAAGTGCACACAAAAAATATATCAATTAAGGCTAACTGTTGGATTGAGATTCGTGGGCCTAATCGTGCCGTGTTGATTGGTTTGTGTGGTGTTGTGTGGCTAATTCGGGGTGCATGTAAGGAAGTTCTTGTTTGATTGTTTAATAGTAGTGCGGATATGTATATATTTTTGTCACGTGAAGCTACCTAGCCCGCCCTATTACTTACGTTACACAGATTGATAGGTTAACGATGGAAAAAGTCCAAAACAAACTTTGAATTTGTAGCTGAAAGCTAATTCAAACCCTAAACTCCCAATCCCTAAAATCAGCACATCAAATTCACTGATTCTGGTCTATTTGAGACTTGAGAGGATTTAACTGTTATTCGCTGAATTGGGCCGGCCCATAGCACACTCTCTCGCGCTGCTCTGGTTTTTCTTTGTTTTTATTCCTTTTTTCTTTGTTTTTTTTCCTTCGTTATACTTTATGTTCTCACTGGTTTTTTTCTTTGTTATACTTTTGGTTTCTTTTGTTTCTTACTTGATTTTCTTCATATTGTTTTTCATTTCTCTTTCTTTTGTTCCTTTACCGGTAACCGGGTTTTTCACACATGTCTAATTATTCTCAGTACCCAATGTAAGTTCTTAGCACAAATATATTTTGATACACTTTTGATATATTTCAGATATGTTATTTACATTTTTTCAAAAGATGATTTAAAAAAAGTGCCATAATATCTTTCCAAACACATGTTTTTACATTTCTTAACAACAATAAACATTTTATAAAACTATACAAACATTTTTTACATTGTGAAACATTTTTTAAATACTATACACTTTTTTCAAACACTTGTCACGTATATTCTTTTAAGGGTATGACATATTTTTTTACATCACACAAACTTTTATCTACATTGTATACACTTCTTTTTGAAAATGTCACAAGAACATTTTTTGAAACTCGTGAACATTCTTGAAATGTTACATTTTATGAATGGACGAAACATTTGTTTGAATCACACGAGCATTATTTACATTGTACATAAATTTTTTTGAAATGCCTCGTACATTTTTCTAAACCCAAGATATTTTTTAGATGTCACAAACTTTTTTCACACATTTGCTCAGGTTTTAAAAAAACTGTCTGCACTTTAAAATTTTGTTCCAGTTTCCAAAAAAATATGTTTCAAAAAGTGTTCGGTTTCCCAAAATTGTATTTTTTTCAAACAATAGTTGTATTTATTAAGTATTCAGAATTTCCAAACGGTTCTCACACTTTACAAAATGTCCGGACTTTTCCAAAATTGTTTACATTTTCAATATTTGTTTGCCCCGAAAAAATGTTTTCGAAGTTCGACGCTTCGGTGTTTTCCAAAAAAACATGAAATTCCAAACACATTATTTGTGACGCAAATTTTGAAAATCTGAAAAACATTCATAGCATGTGAAAAACTGTTGGAATTCTGAACAGTTTTTGGCAAATGTGATTTTTTTGAAATCACGGACAATTTTCGAAAAAAATGTGAATAGAACTTAAAAATTCCATACATTATTTTAAAAACACAAAAGGAAATTGAATTTGTGCCAAAAATACAAAAAAGGAACATTTTTTATTTTCTAATTTTTTCTAGAAATGCGCGAACATTTTTAGACTGCACAAATTCTTGTTGTGGTATAGTCGGTCGGCCTAAATTATCGTCCGCGAGAGTAGCAGGTTATCCGGTTAGGATTGTAATATTCGCAGTATGCGGAATAGGTGTAGGGTCTAAAATAGACCGGGATTACAAGTTCAGATCGTGAATTTCCGGATTCAAAGTTCAGCGTTTGATTTAGCTTTCGTTCACAACTTCAAGGTTTGTTTTGGACTTTTTCCACTAAAGATTAATAGTTCTAATAGATCCATGGGATTTTCCAGCATATATCTCTATTCTTGATCCGTATTTTTCGTTTAGTATATGATCGAATCGAATAGATAAAATAGATAATAGATAGATAGATTGAGTCATGGATCCTGGTAATAGATCAGAATATAATAGTGTGGACTGGATCCTGGTAAAAAAAAGAACACTGATAACTCCCGCACGTTTGGTTTGGGAGCTCCCCGGACCGAACGAAACGTTCATAGCGACCCATCGATAAAAACGAACTACAACGTTCGGGCTGAGATAAATTTCAGACCGAACGTTTTTCTTCCTTGCCACCTTTTTCTACTGGCCCAATTAGCATGAATTCCAGCAAGCTCAAAGCCCAAAAAATGAAAAAAGGCCAAGGGTAGAGAAAAATAAGTTCCAAAAAATGGCAAAATTTATTTGCTTATGCATTTTTGTACCGACCATAATATATATCCGTGGCAAGAAATACATGGTTTTGTAACCAAAAAGAACAAGAAAAATGCCATGATTAGAAAAATAACAAAATGCCATGGTAATAAATGCAACATATTTGCCATGGCAAAAATACTTTTATTCACATGGAACTTTTAGTTTAATTTGCCATGGCAACAAAAAATAGTCTATTTTTGCCATCAGAAAAACTTACACTATTCTTCCATGGCAAAAAAAATATGTATTCAGATGGCAATTTTTTGTTTAATTTGCCATGGCAAAATCTATACTATTCTTCCTTAGCGATAAATACTTCTATTCACATGGCAATTTTTTGTTTAATTTGCCATGGCAAAATTTATACTATTCTTCCATGGCAAAACTACTTCTATTCACATGGCAAATTTTACTTTAATTTTCCTTGGCAAACTTCACACTATTCTACCATGGCAAAAATACTTTTATTCGCATGTTATTTAAATTAAATTTGCCATGGCAATATTGGTAATTATGCCATGGAAAATAAAATGTGAAAGTTCCATGGCAAAAAAAGAGTATAAATTGCCATGGCAGTAGTAGTTAAATATTTCCCATGTAAATATAGATAATTTGGCCATGGAAATAAAATGTAAATTTGCCATGCTAAATAAAGAGTAAAAATTACCTTGGAAATAAAAGTTGAAAATTGCCATGGCGATTTATGTAAATTTGCCATGCCAATTAGAGGAAAATTGCCATTACAAAAAAAGCTAAATATATTGCCATGGTATTTTACTATATACACGAGGATACAAAAAAATGTAGATTGAAAAATTGCCACCATGCAGAACACAAAAGTGTACCATATATTGTTT